GGGGTGGGGGACAGGGTCTTACTCTGTCATCCAGGCTGTAATGCAGTGGCACAATCAGAGCTCACTGCAGTCTCAACTCCTGGGCTCAAGAGATCTTCCTTCCTCAGCCTCCTGAGTATCCAGAACCACAGGCATGCACCACCATGCCTGGCTATTTTTTTAATTTTTTTGTACAGATGAGTCTTGCTATGTTGCCCAGGCTGGTCTCAAACTCCTGGCTCAAGTGGTCCGCCTGCCTCAGCCTCTCAAAGTGTTGAGATTACAGGTATGAGCCACCACACCTGGCTCATTCTTTCTTTTTTTAAGAGACAGAGTCTCACTATGTTGCCCAGGCTGGTGTCAAACTCCTGGCCTCTGGCAATCCTCCTGCATCAGCCTCTTGAGAAGCTGGGACTACAGGTGCATGCCGCCATGCCCAACTCTCTTTTCTTTTTTTATGTTAACTAACTTTTATCTTCATCTTCCTTACCTCAATTGGACTCCATCATGCATCATTTTAAACAAACTTTTGCTCATATCCTCAACTAGTTATCCCATTGTCTTCCTATCAAAACTTACCCTACAACCCCTATTCCCTGGGTCAATTCAACTGTCCCTCTTCCCTGTACCAATTCTGGAGCTATGTTGTGTACCTTGAGAAAAATCATTTAATGTACATACTGATATAACATAAAATGGGGGTTTCTAACCTCAAATGGGCCCTTAACACTGCAGGAAAATCCTTCTATGTTTTTGTGATCAACTCATATTCTCCCCAGCAGCCATCTCAAACCTAATCTAGTCTTATTTATTTATTTTTTTTGAAACAGAGTCTCGGCTCTGTCACCCAGGACAGAGTGTAATGGCGTGGTTTCAGCTCACTGCAACCTCCACCTCCCAGGTTCAAGCGATTCTCCTGCCTCAGCCTCTTAAGTAGCTGGGACTACAGGTGCATGCCACCATGTCCAGCTAATGTTTTATTTTATTTTATTTTTTTTATTTTTAGTAGACACAGGGTTTCACTGTGTTGGCCAGGCTGGTCTCGAACTCCTGACCTTGTGATCTGCCTACCTCGGCCTCCCAAAGTCCTGGGATTACAGGTGTGAGCCACCATGCCCGGCCAAACCTAATCTACTCTTATCAAGCTTCAGATCCCACCCCTATCTCCCTTCTGGGGAGGTCTCAATAGCGGATCTCAGCAGGATCCATTAGATACCAGTTCCAAATCTACTTGCATCTACCCTCCTTTGCCTCCTTCCCTTCTATTACAATGAACAGTGGACCCTGGCTCTGGCAGTTTAAGGCTAATTTCTCCACTTGTGCTTCCTCCTAGTTTCTCAGTCTTCACTCCACAGCATATTCCCACACTCTCTGTCTTCATCCCCTTTCTCTCTAGTGGATCCTTATGGGAGCTTGGTAGCTCACTTGCTTGCTTTTTTTTTCTTTCTTTCTTTCTGGAACATACCACCCTCTGTGGCTCTACAGAGCCAGGCAGGAGGAGTTTTTTTGTTATTACTTTTTAGGAGACCGTCAGCTCCCCTAGAGTGGAAATCATGACCTTCAACTGGCTTTGGGATCCTTGGAGTCCCAGCTAAACCAGGACTGGAGGCACCTGGAAGCAAGGACTTGGTGTCCTTGAGGCAGCTCAAACCTTTAGAGCTCAGGGGCCTCCAAACTGAATGCACAAGAGCCCTGAGGGTCCTAAGGAGGTAACCCCAAGGCTGCTAGGTGGGGAAGCCAGGACTTCAATCAGGAATGCCCCTCTTTCATCTGCAATATTTCTTTTGGACAGTCTGGCAATTAAACAACTACTAGTTTTAAAACACCTGTCTTAGATCCTTGATCAGAGTCCCAGCCTGTCCTCCTCCCTCTAGAGATGGGGAAGATGTGCTCCTTCCTCCTAAAAGCCTTCAGCTCAGAGCCAGTCAGTTTCCAATCTACCAGTTGAGTGACACTGGGCAAGCCCCTCCCTGTGCTGGGTCTCATTTTTGAAAAAATAGGGTTTGGGGAGGAGTGGGCAGGACCTTGGGTCTTCAGTTTCTTTAAAGTGGAGTGAGTCTAGAAAGAAGACGGGGAAGCCAGGCGCAGTGGCTTACACCTGTAATCCCAGTACTTTGGGAGGCTGAGGAGGGTGGATCACAAGGTCAGAGGTTTGAGACCAGCCTGGCCAA